GACTGCATAATTTATCTTTTGTAAAAATTAAATGACAGCTGATTTAACTAGATGTCAAGCCCTGGATCCATGCAGCAAATAAACTAAGTGAAGTAAAACACAGTATTACTTTTATCAGACAGTAACCTCCAAATATTTAAAGCTCACACACAGCTTTATACACTACAAAAAGTCACAAAAAACAAAACTGTACAGTAAAATTATGTAAGACACAGCAGAGAAAAGTTATACATAGTAGAATGTATCATGTTAGAGTAATATAAATTGAATGTATCGTGTATATACATTTCCATAAAGCAAGATTATCTTAAATAGTGTATATGTGTGTATAATATAGGTGCATATGGAATACAAATAAATCTGGCAGCAGAGTTAACTTCTTAGCAAGTACATACATAGGTAGGAGAGCCTATACATTGTATTTTAGCTGTCAGCCAAGTTCTAAAGCCATGCTTGGCTTGCAACAGACGCAGTGGTATTTGATATTATGATGCATAAAATATATATATAATAGGAAAAGTGTTACATAACACTTGTCCAAAATAAAATATACAGGCAAGTTAAACAAGCAGCAGATTCTTTTTAAATTACAGTTAATTCAGAAGGCAAATCCCATATGCAAACACCATACACGTTGAGGGGGGAAAGGCAGCTGACAAAAATATACCAGTTTATTATGGTTAAGGTTTCTTTGGCTCAAATTCCAAGCTGAAATATAAAATACGTTTTAAAATGCCACAAATAATGAAATGTGAACTACTTCAGTTATTATGTTCCTTCACTTTTTGATGGTGAAATTTAAACCATTAATAGAAATAGTTTGTTTAGCTATAGAAACAGACTAGCAGAAACCAGAGGATCAATGTTCAGTGCTAGTTTAGTCTATTAGAAACAAGAGTGTGTTTTTCTGTCTTGCATGTTCAAGTGGACATAATCGCTTTCTAGAATGTTCTTTCAGGAGATAGTGGTCAAAATGGTGGCAAAATAGTGGTTTACAGCCTTGATCTTTGGATCTCTTGGTAGGTTAAGACCTCATCATCCCCAAACAGCATTGTCAGTGGCTGGGGATGACATGAGGTGGTTGTACGCGAACAATATCCGGAAATCCCAAAGTCAAAACCATTGCAGACTATAATAATTTAAAACTGTACGAGAGTTTCTCTGGAAACTAATGGCTAATCAGTGGGACTTACACATGCACTGCCTTAACATGTCACATTAAATCAATATGTCTGTTCTCACAGCTCTAAAGAGTTCAGTTCTGATGGAACAGTGGTGACACGACTTTTAAAAGAACGTTACTGTTGATGAGAGTTAGATCAAAGGAAACTTCTAGTAAGCTAAAAAATATATTTCATCAGCATTTAGTTGATTTGCCACTAGATATGGAAGTAACCCGACCAACGCTTCCCTGCCTTCCCGCACAGCTAACCACTCTGGTGAGAAGGTGGGATCTGAGTCTTCCTACTCAGATGTTGAGCCATTGCTGTGCGGGGAGGTGGGAAAGCACCAGCCAGATTACTTTCATGACTGGCGTGATGTTGACAATGGATGCAAGCACTGCACACTGAACAGTGAGTGGACCAGCCAGTTCTAGGGGAGGGAACAGACCTCTGTGGCACCTGTGGTGCCACACTTCATATTTATATCCCCAGGGCTATTAATACAAAGCGCCATGCTTATTTGCCACACATATTTATGTGCCAGAATCTAAGTAACCCTTAAACTAAATCTGCATGGCCAAAGATATGTTAGTTATTTTTCTTAAACACCAGTTTGTCATGGGCAACCAACAACTTTTGAAATCTGAGAACAAGTTGTCACATAACACACTAACTTGGCACACTTGGTGAGTGTGTGTGGGTGTGTGCATGACATAATTTTAAAAAAATCCCACTGGGTGAGAGAAATCCATTGGACTCATCTGAAGCAGCTCTTTGGATCCTGGCCAGGAAAATGAGTTTGATTTTCCAGGGTAATATCACCTTGGCTGTGGACATAACATTGGTATCTAAAGGTCTTACAAGAGTCTATATCTGATCTGTTTTTTTTCCAGCCTTCAAATCTTCTCAAATTGTTTCAGGATCAAAACATATAAAACCAAATTGTTATTTTTTTAAAAAAATCTGCAAAATGTTACAGGGAAGAACACCACTCAATAAAATAATTTAGCATGCTTGGTACTGTATTGTACCTTTTCCCTGAGTACCTTGAATCATACAGTTTCCTTCTCTTTGTAAAGTTTGAGGGTTTCTTGAAGAAAGTAAGAATCAGTGCATCTCCAGATCAGATGAAGCTTTTTGCTTTCCTTCCAGTTTTTAAACTGCAATGTTACCTGGAAGATTAAGAGCATGGGAAAAATCGTACACACAGCCAAGCATAGAATGTCATCCACAGTAGTCTCTTCTAATCCTCTCCTCTTTGATCAAGCTGTTCTGACATGGGTTCAACACCTTGCAGCAGCCCTACAATGCATCTCAGAAGGCCCAATGTTTAGCAGCAACGTCTTGAACATTGCTTTGATTCTACACTCCGCTGTGCTTCTGTATCTATGCACTGGGAGAGGAGGGGAGAGAGCTGAGAGAAGAAAGAGGATACCCACTTAATGCAGCCAGTCAGGTTCAGCTCCAACTTCTTAACCAGCATCAATTTGCCATTATGCTGTTGGATGGATGCCAACATAAGAAAGTAGTAAGATTCTGGTCATTATTGTCTTTCAGCAATGTCTTTGCTGAACTGTTATAAGAACATGGGAACTGGCATGAGACAACTATGCAGATATGTCAGTTCAGCCCCCAAACTTCTTTTCAAGTGTGAAAAGTAGCAATAAATGCCAGTGGAGACATAACGGTCAACTTCCATCACCCCTCCAATACTGAACTCAAGCGATGAGGGCCAACAGAAAGAGTTAAGATGGGGTGACGGAATCACAAGAAAAATATCAGCATGCTTGGGAAACTTCACTATTTGCAGCAATATCGAAATATTTTTAAAATACCACAGACTCAAATAGGCTATATTACCAATGAGGAATGAGAATATTCAGCAAACACAAATTGTTGATTTCAAGTAGAAAAACAGAAAGCAGGTAAGGTAGAAGCATTATATAAAAGAATGAGAGACTGGACAGGTTTACTTTCCTGAACTACAGAAAGGTGAGAATCATAGCTAAAAAACTTATATTTTACTGCAATTTGTGGAAGCATGTAACAAGCATGACCAGTAGCTGTGCTGAGAGGCATCTGCAGTCCAAAGAAGGAACTCTTCCTATCTCTAGAACTCATCACAGTATTCTGCTGCACATCCTCCTTGATCCAAATAATTTTAGGTCATATTTTTAGAATGGGAGCAGCACTTGTTTTGTTATCAAACATAGCTCTCGACTGTGACAATAAAAAATACTTCAAAAAACTGCAATTCTGTAAGCATAAAGGGTAATCTACAATTTCACGTATCAGCTCCTCTGATATTTCATTTCAAAAAGTTAATACTGAAAAGCAAGCATGGAGGCTCACAGCATGCCAGACAATTCTGTTGTACGTCAACATCTTTTTATATTCATCGCTGAAATATGTACAGAAGGCATCTCTAACATGCCTGTTTTCAAAAGCTGTCAATTCAATCTAAAAATTCTTGTTACTAAAAAGTTTAATTTTAGGCGCATGAAAAATGCAAGTGCAAGAAATTGTTTTAACTCATATCAGTCAACAACTGTAGAAGGATGCATGTCTTGTGCTAGTATGTGCATCTTGGATAATAAGGCTTTTTAAAATTTCAGAAGTTGCCAATCAAGCTAACAATTTTTTCTTGGCTGTCTGCATAAGTAATATAACTCATCTAAACTTCTGAATATTTAATTCTCATGAGTTCAATCCACAAATATTTCAGTATTCCTACTGAAATCAACTGAAGTTAAAACACTGCACTTTGGCTAGACTCTCTGTGTTAAATGGGAGAGTAACAGAAGTGAATAAGCAGTACAAGCCTAACTATTTCTCTATCCAAAGTAATATACTTCCTAGAAAATATGGCTTGGTTTTGCAGCCAAAGACTTGTTTTACATTTCATCAGGTGATTAAGAAGCCACTGTAGCCCACTGTCCTTTAATTTTAAAAAAATTACCACAAATAAAATTATATAAAATAAAAACTTGGCTTCATACTCAAAAAATACCTGAATATGTCCTCAGTATTATAAAATATCCCTGATTGCCAATACAGTTAACCTACTGAATGGAATTTGGGAAGTGTGTGCTATTCCACTTCATCATATTGATAATGCATATTAAAGTAAGTATTAAGGACTACAGGGAGCATGGAAATTATGTTGTGTGCCATAAATGTTATGTGAATGTTCTAATGGTGAAATATTTTGATAAAAACTATATGAAAAAAACTTTATTTCACATAACAGAACAAAATCAGAACAAGAAAATGTAATTTTAATATTTTATAAATAGGCCAGATATGACCTGAGGTTTAATCAAAGTTCATTTATAATGTCACAGACTGTCTCTGATGTATGGCCTTCTTGATATCAATGTAAAAAAACATTCCTCTCACTTAACTGATGTATACAAGAATGAAACCAAATACCATTTTGTAAACCTATTGGAGGCTTTTATCGGAGACATACAAACCAGATGGAATGTGTATATTTATGGGATAGAGTGACAAAAATTCTCTTGTTAACACTCTTAGATTTCTATTCTTTGTCTTGTTCTTATTACTTTTATCGTCACATTAATGCCATTACAAATGCCATTAAAAACAGAGGAGACTTCAGTTTTCATTGGGTAAATGCAGGCATACTGGAAATCACAGAGGCATTTTTCACTGGCTTAACAGATACAGGTAACAAAATAAAATGAAACTACTTTCTTCAAGTGCATACAATGCATGCAGCGAAGTACCGCTTTTCGTAAATATTAAAAGCCATGATGCATTGGTTTTTTTTCCTTCATTATTTGCAACAGCTTATAAAAACACATGTTTTTTCATGTCACAATGTTAATCAGTTTTCCCCATTTTATGGGAAAGATAATAAGGCCTTGCAGGAAGTCCAACTCCCACATAGTTAAATTAACAGAAAAAGACAGCAAACTAAGACAAACAGGAAAGATTCGGCTTCAGCAGTTCTTGCAGTAGCAGCAACCTGATCGCTTGAGATCCACTCGTCTGCTTGGTGCTCACAGAAGATCTCTTTCTTTCCCAACATGCTGTGCAGGGGGAAAAATTGCTTTCCTTCCTGTTTCTAAATTTGGCCATCAATCATTATTAAGACAGGCAAAAATGACCTTCAGATTTTAACCATTCCTTTGGTACAATACAACATAAACAGTATGTTACAGCTCTAGAACTGCTGCAAGGTGCCCTTGAGGCAGGTTCCCCAGGACAGAACGGCCTGTACTTCATCCTTCTCCGGGAAGGTTATGGCAGAAAGTTAGGAGAATCCTAAGAACCTCCCTCCAGAACAGAATTCACAGTCTTCTGGATGGACAAACAAATTCTTTAGTGGCAAATGGCTCTTGTTTACCATACAACCTTCTAGTCCACAGGCTTCCAGCCATTCATTTCTTGAATGGGGTCAGTTTGTTAAAAGTGTGCCAGAAAAGGGATGGCTTCCGTTTTGGTTCTGCCAGAGCAAAGACCTGTTGTTGCGGAATGCTGGTGGGCACTGTAATGTGGCGCTGATGGATAGGATGTAAACCCTGATGAGGCGGTGGCACTGGGCACCCATTGTAGCTGACACCTATAGAAAGGAAGCATAGAGAACATGAGTGAAACTCTTATATTGAAAGTATATCAAGTCTTTACAATTCAGGGCCAAGTGTACACTGGACATTTTACTCTATGCACTGGCAGCATACCTCGAATATCCATAGTCATGCAATCATGTAGATAAATGCTGCATGTGAATTATCACACTTGCAATCAGCAGCATTTGCCTTCTTTCCATTTCAGCCACTGAAAACATAGGAGTTTCTGTCTCCTGGACCTATAATTTCCTGCCTCATATTTTCCCTCACTATAATGCCCAAGCAGATTTCCTCATGTGAAGGTTAAGGCTTCTTTCATGCAAGGAATATTCACCTTTCATCTTTCCATGCCTTGATCTCCGTGCGTTTTGCATGGCTTGCTTCTTTTGGTTTTCAGAGATCTCCATTCCTGCATTTGGAGGTAAATTTCATTATTTAAATATGGTTCCACGCATTTGGTTGCAGCAACGTTTTAAAACAAATATCAGTTAAAATGTCATAGAAAATGAAAGGCTTAGTAGGACAATTCAAGGGAGGGGGCCCGGCTAAGTGCTTGCCTGTGCTCCAGTTAAAGCACATGTTTTGCAGATTGGAAGTCCTGAGTTAACTCCAGTGTAAAGCTCAGGGGTCAGGGTAAGCAACACTGTGCCAGGTGGATTCAACAGGGCCTTCACTTCCCAGCACCTTCAGCTGAAAAGATCAGCAAGTGGACAATAGGAAGGATTTCTGCCTGAGGCTCTGGAGAGCTGCTTCCAGTCAGGGTACATAATACTGGACTATAAACAGGCGCTGGAGAGAATCAACGTAAGGCAGCTCTGTTATGTTCAGTCAGTTTGCAATCAGTACACAGAAGTGCAGATTTCTATTACAGACCAAATGCTGATGACTCGGTAGAAGATTTAAGGACTTGCCAGAAGAGAACAATAGCAAACTATAGCAGACTTCCACCAGAGCAACCCTAAACAGCGCTATGTTGGTGCAACCTTTTGGGCAAGTCACAAGGCTATTGAAAGTTACTACTGAAGAGCAACTAAATCAGTATACCTGCCGAAAGCATAAAATATTATGTGAAAGGTTATTATCTGTCTACCACATTCAGAAGTACAGTGTGCCTGAGCAACCTTAATAACCTGAGGCAAAAGACACAAAAGGCAGGCCACACAACAGAGCAGATGAATGAAGACTAAGAATATTTCTACAGCTCCTCACTACTGTATTTTTTGCTCCATAAGACACAGTTCCCCCCCCCAAAAAAAAGTGGAGGGGAAAGTGTGTGCGTCTTATGGAGCGAATACTGCCCCCCCATCGCTGCCTTCCCAGGCCTCTGGAGGCTTCAGACACCCTCGGAAGCTTCTCCGGCTTAGGCACCCGGCTGCTTCTCCTTCCTCCTCCTGCTGCACGGCTGGATCACAGAGCTCCTCCAACCTGCACACCTCACCCAGGGTGTTTGGTGGTGCTTACGAGTAGACCCACCCATCCTGTGGCACTTGCTTGTGAGTAGACCTGCACATTTTGCAGGCCTTACTCATGGGTAAACCTGCGCATTTGGTAGCCCTTACTCATGAGTAAACCCGCACCTTGGGCCTCACTGACACCCTCTTACCTTAATTGCCGCTGCTTGAGGTCTTTTGGCTTTGGAGCCATGCATGTAGAAATGGAGATTGCCTGCCCTTTGCAAAGATGATGGCTGTGGCTTCATTTAGGGTAGGGAAACTGCAGCTGCCATCTTTGCCAAGGGCAGCATGGATTCCCTTAAGGCAGGTTAAGGGAATCCAGGCTGCCCTTTGCAAAAACGGCAGCTGCGGCTTCTCTACCCTAAATGAAGCTGCAGCTGCCATTTTTGCAAAGGGTAGGCAGTCTCCATTTCTACATACGTGGCTCCGAGGCCAGAAGACCTCAGCAGCAGCAATTAAGATTATGGTGGTGGGGACCCCCGCAGTGCCTCTGAGGCCTCCAGACTCTTGGGAAGGCAGTGATGGTGGCAGCGGGGACCCCCAGGAGGCTTCGGACTGGTAAGATGCTGCTTTTTACTTTTTCAAAAAATGTTCTGGGTGGGTTTGGGAGGGTAGGTTTGGGCTGGGAGGTATGTTTCTATGTTGCTTTGTTTTTTGGCGAGGGTTTTTTTTTTGCAATCCCAGAGTGGGACATACACTGTTTATTTATTTAATAGCCCACCCCTGATACAGAGGAATATTTTTTCCTGCTTTCCTCTTCAAAAAAATATGTGCGTCTTATAGTCAGGTGCGTCTTATGGGGCGAAAAACACGGTATTTTTCAAAAGTAGTTTGCTAATGTTTTCTGAAATGATAGGATTTTTGCTATCCTGACGCAAAACCATTTTCGTGATCTCACAAGACAGGAAATGTGACAGTGCATATGCAGCTTTTTGTTGTTCCTGCTGTTCTTGATGGACATCGCCAAGCCTGCTTCTTATCATGGGTTAATGAAGGGAGGGCAACACAGAGCATGGACTAATTTTGAAGATCTTCAGTTTGTTTCCTAGCTGCATTGGCATGATGGGACAAGAGATGAAATAAAAAGCAGGTGGGAACGTAAGATATAGGAGAAAGGGTGGCCCCACTCACTTTTGGCTCTGGCCCAACCACTGCTGGGTTCAGTTCTACTGAAGCCTCTGTCAGATTACTCCTATAGGAACACAACCCCTGACATACAAAGTTTCCCCACCTCAGCTAAAACCTGATAGTTAATACTTAATACTGAAATCTTCAATACCATTTCATAGATAAGCAAAGCAATTCAAAGGTCGTAGAATCGCCAAAAGCAAAAATAAGGAAAGCAAGCATGATTCTTTCCTCTGATTTTAACTGCTTCTTATGTTAAGAAAGACAAAACATACCCATTTCTTTATCTTCTTGCACTCTCCTCCTCTCATTTGCATAGGCTTCCATCCACCTTTTCTTGTCCCCTGGCTTCTTCCCACAAAACAGATGAACCTCTTCTGTGACAGTATTTACAATTTTGAAAGCGTTCTTTACATTGATATTGTAGTCCTTGTCTTTGCCATCCTCGACGTCCAGCACTTCCATTTCATCCATGTCCAACCGTCCCTTGTAGTACAGCATGTCCCTTCTCAGTAGATCTTTTTTACAGAACACAAGCTGATGGTCAAAGAGGAAGAAAGTCCTCTGCTGGCTCTTGCCTTGCTTAGAGATTCTGGTCAGTTCTCCTGAATGGATCAGCTCTGAGCTTCTGCCTAAAACGTCTTGCCCCTGGAATGTTTGCAGTGGACAGGGGGGGAAAGACTTAAGGTCATTTTCTTGAACAATTACCATTAGCCTAGTTAGTACCATGTTTGCAGTGGACAGGGGGGGAAAGACTTAAGGTCATTTTCTTGAACAATTACCATTAGCCTAGTTAGTACCACAGATAACTTACATGGATGCATTTCATACAAAGTTGTTTAGTTGCAAATCCAAAATCGTTTGCAGTGGACAGGGGGAAAAAAGACTTAAGGTCATTTAACAATTACCATTAGCCTAGTTAGTACCACACATAACTTACATGGATGCATTTCAGACGAAGTTGTTTAGTTGCAAATCCAAAATAGAAAACAAGCCCGCCTATCATATTTGCTGAGACCTGAGGTTTTTGACTACATCACTCTGTGCTGAAGTGTTCACTTAAGTCCTATTCAGTTATTTACTCCCATTCAACCAGCCATGTGACAAAAGAAGAGAATGGAGAAGAACTTTATGGCTCTTCCATCTTTCACATGCCGCCTTTCCTTCAGCCTCCACGTGTTAGGGCTGGAACATCTGCAGCAGGCAGCTTTTTCTATTTAACTACTATCATTACAGTATGTTTTATCCAGCCTTTCCTCGAAACCATAAAAATGATCAGCACTGCTAGTAAACATCAGTAAAAAACCAAATTAAAAGCAAATTAAACAATCGAAAATAATCACAATCAATCAATCAAAATAATTTAAATCATCTCAATAAACATCAAAATAAAGGCAACCTGGGCATGGAGGGCGGCTGGCAAGGAAGAGACATCCTTTCATGATGATAAAGGTTTTGGGCTATTAGGGGAAAGTCACTGAGAAGGAGGTGAGTCTTTTTCACATCTCTTTCTGAATAAGACTGCATGATAACTCTGTTGCTATCTAAAAATAGTCAAAGCTATGGTTTTTCCTGTCGTGATGTATGGAAGTGAGAGCTGGACCATAACATAAACAGACCGCCGAAGAATTGATGCCTTTGAATTGTGGTGCTGGAGGAGGCTCTTGAGAATCCCCTGGACTGCAAGGAGAACAAACCTATCAGTTCTAAAGGAAATCAACCCTGCAATGTAAATGGCTTTTTTTTTTAAAAAAAAAAGAGGGAACACAGGGAACCTGTGCAAGCAGAAAAGCTGCACTGCCATAAATGTTCAGCTTTTTACACACGTGGGCTGCAAGAAAGGCAACCTGGGCATGGAGGGCGGCTGGCAAGGAAGAGACATCCTTTCATGATGATAAAGGTTTTGGGCTATTAGGGGAAAGCCACTGAGAAGGAGTTGAGTCTTTTTCACTTCTCTTTCTGAATAAGACTGCATGATGACTCTGTTGCTATCTAAAAAGATAACTGTGAAAAAAACCTGATACATTATGACGCAGGGCCTTTTCAGTTGGCAGCAAAAACACTTTGTTACCACTGGACTTTTAGCGTGGGGTTGTTACTGCTCTTTTGTGTTTTATGCCACAAACCACTTTGTAACCGATTATTAAAAATACAAATGCTATAAGTAAACAAATCATTCAAATCAATATTCTCAGAAAGATACCTGTGAAAAAAACCCTGATACATTATGACGCAGGGCCTTTTCAGTTGGCAGCAAAAACACTTTGTTACCACTGGACTTTTAGCGTGGGGTTGTTACTGCTCTTTTGTGTTTTATGCCACAAACCACTTTGTAACCGATTATTAAAAATACAAGTGCTATAAGTAAACAAATCATTCAAATCAATATTCTCAGAATCAACAACGGTCTTCTTGAATCACATGGAATAGCCAAGTGCAATATCAAAACAAAAGTAGACAAAAAGAAATGGCTGCTGAACATTCTGTCATTTAAGTGTCTATCCTTCTTGGAAGTACATCCTTACCTCCCAGTTGACAATAGACACTTGCCAGCGAGCAATTTTGTCTATGCTTTCTAGCCTTCGTTTACGTTCATTGATCAGGCAAGCAACATTTTTCATGGCTTCATAAGCTGCTTTTATATCATTATAGTCACTGCAAAGTAAAGACATACAAAGGAAATCATTTTAGGGGATCATTCTGTCATCTCCATAGTCAGTTGGGTATTTTTTCATAGTTATGTGGCTTTACTCCCAGAGCTGGAAAATCTGCTAAGCTCAGTTGACTCTTCACCAAAGCAGTTCTCATGTCTTGCTACCAGAAACCTTAATGTCACACAGATTTCAAATCCAGCAGAACCAGCAACATTTTATATCATAGGTTTCCCATCAACGGTTAAGTGCTGGCACTGCCCTTAACTGCAATTACATTAATCAATGTTTGTGACAACAAGATTTTTAAATCAAGACAGGAAACTGGTTTTAAAACCTAATTAATTGCGAATCCTAGGTAAACCTGAACCATGGATAAGATTTGTTCTTGTATAAGCTTTTAACAAAGTGTCAGATTCAAACCAGATAGTTGGAGGGAGGTTACTATAAATTAATCCCAGCTTCTTACCCTTGAGTTTAAGGATTCTGGGAAATATGTATAAGATCTTAGAAAAAGATTTCTTTAAATATTAATAGGATTTTTTTAAAAAAAAATAATTAACTTTTGGAACAAAGCCAACATAGATTTTGGATAAACTATACTACCGTAATTCAACAATCAATTACAGAGTTAGATCTGGGGGCTTAGTTAAATTCAGTTTACAGCATGATCCTGTGCATGCTTGTTCAACAAAAAGTTGAACTATGCTTTGGGAATCAGTTTTAAGTTTTGATTTTCTGATGGCAGCCTTCTAAAATGTATAAGAAACTGATGTCAGAACCTACTGATGAATTACAGTTGTGTAAAGGAAATTATGGTATTTTTCCATGTATAAGACACCTCACACCCCTTTTCTAACCCAAAATTTCTTTATGTGCAAGAAAGTGGGGAAGGTATGGATCAAAGGGCTTTGATTCCTGCTTTCCATGTCCACTTTCTTTACAAAAAGCTGCTTTGTCCCTCTACTTTTTGCAAGGGGAAAGCACTAATATGTTTCAAGAGCAGAAAAGATGGACTTATATTTAAACACATAACTTGCCATGTGTCATAGCTGTTCAGTATTAATTTTACCACAACACTTTTTCTATTTGCAAAATTCAGCGATCTATTGTAAAGCATTAAAAAGTACGAAACACCCACACACACACACACACATGCCCGTGGGAGATTTCTACCGCTACTAATCTGAGAGCACAGACAATTGTTCAAAGAGCAGCCTTTTTGTACAAGGAGAAAGTACTGAGGAAATACCAAAGGAGAAAGTTGGAGAGGAAGGAAGCAGACAACAAAGCCACTTTGATACCCACAAAAGTCCTGCTCAATTGAATCTATCTAAAAGCTGTCCCAGTTATAAAAGTATCATTAATATGTTTCAAGAGCAGAAAAGATGGACTTATTTTTAAACACATAACTTGCTATGTGTCATAGCTGTTCAGTATTAATTTTACCGCAACACTTTTTCTATTTGGAAAATTCAGCGATCATTGTAAAGCATTAAAAAGTACGAAACACCCACACACACACACACACACATGCCTGTGTGAGATTTCTACCGCTATTAATCTGAGAGCAGAGACAATTTGTTCAAAGAGCAGCCTTTTTTTACAAAGAGAAAGCACTGAGGAAATACCAAAGGAGAAAGTTGGAGAGGAAGGAAGCAGACAACAAAGCCACTTTGATACCCACAAAAGTCCTGCTCAATTGAATCGTAAAGAGTTCTGAGGGTTTTGGAGAGAAAATGAACCATGGGACAGGATTTGCTCTCTCAAAGATAATGTGGCATCAGCAGGGCTACTTCCTAGGTTGGTTGAACATTAACCAAAGTTTTAAGGATTCACATACTTAACTGGCCCAGATGAGCAGTTAGAATCTAATTAGTGTTTGAGAAAACAGAATGTGTGGGAGGCAGGTCTTTGCAAGTGAATCTGGGATACATGATTGGGTGGGTGGGGATAGTTTGTCTTACCTGTGTTCCTGAGTAGTGTACTTGAGCAATTCCGCAAGCTGCAGAGGATATTTACAGATTTTCTGAACAGGTGTGAGAAGGAAACCATCTATAGCAATATCAATCATTTGCTGCAGGAGACGGCAAGCTTCAAAGAAATGACGATACCTGCCCTGTTTCATCAGATTGGACAGCTCAATGCAGGCACTGGGATGATTGTTACAATATTCAGAGTAGATGGCAAAGCCTTCTTGCTAAAAGAAAACAAAACACAATATTTTTGTTAAAATAAAATATTTATTGGATGCTTTCCTTGTTTGCCTTTTGTTCTTGACTTTTTAAGAGGACCCTCCTCCCAATTTCTTTGGATTATCTTTGTTGCTGCCAAGCAGTCTGCCTGTGCTAATGCACCTCCTTTAGATGACTTTTTGACCCCTCTTCCCAATATATTTGGAGATTTTTCCTGTCTGTTTTTGGAGGAGAGGATTTTTAATATATTTTTTCCTACTTTGTACGTTGGGGGGTTATCCCTGTTTACCTGATTTTAAATTGTTATTAGTTAATTCAGTGTGACTTATTCTTTTAAAGTTGCATATTTTGGTGAGTTTTTAATGATTTCTTTTCCATGGCAGCTTTTGTAGTGGTTTGATCCTCTGTTGCTTTACCTCTCTGCTTTTGAGGAGTACTTTTTAAGAGGTTTTAAGTGTCCTTTAGGGCTTTCGAAGTGTCAGGAAACACAATAGGGGAACTCAAAGTAAAAGAACCAGAAAGAAAGGCTTTTGAAGTGTCAGGAAACACAACAGGGGAACTCAAAGTGAAAGAACCAGAAAGAGGCTTTCTCTTTCATGTCAAACACTAAAAACACAAAAACAAAAGAGGCCGGGGGGGGAGGGGAGAACCTGAAACAAAAGAAATATGAACATTTTTGCCATGCACATTCCCAGTGACATGGAGGAATCACAACTGGCTTAGACAGCCTTAAGGTAAAACTGATGAGATTCTTTAAAGGCATATACAGGTGTTTAGTTCTGCACTGTTATCAAGCTGCAGTTGTCACTGAAGATTGCCTTTGTCGCATAACATTCGAAAATCAAACTAACAGAGCAGAATCAACAAACTTACATGCTGAAGAAAGCAGGCTCCTATTTCGCTTAGGTGGGGCTCGTCTTTATTGTACTGCTTCTCTAGATCTTTCAAGAATTTTCTTTGGAATTTGTAAATGTCTTCAATATTCCCAAATATGGTGTTTAGTTGGGCTTCTGTGAACATCCCAGTGTGTTTACGACACTGTCGAAGATACCCCTAGAAAAAAAATACAAACTGGACGCTCAACATGGGTCAAATCAGAAAAGAGTTTTTTTAATTGTAATGAATAATTTGTTTTGCCGTCCAGCACTAGGAAATGTGATCTTTCTCAACTTTCACACCTCTTCCCTGCCACCTTTATTCATGAGCGGCAATAACTGTATGAATTGTCCAAGACCTATGTTGTCTAGTCTGAATGCAGGTTCAGTATATAAACAGTATGACACAGAGCCAGACAGCCAGTTCATACAGGATCCCTACAATTCAGTCATCATTTTCCTCTCTCACTTGGTGCAAATAATTTCACTGATTAATGAAAAAAAGCTAAACAACAAACCACATCTGGCTGCTCAGCATCACACTGTATGACATATGCAACAACATCCAGTACAATAATATGGTACATGGGGGTCACAGTTTGGTCCTTTGGTCAGGGATACAGTTGCATTCTGAGCATCTGCGCATGCCTTCCCATGTTTTTCCAAGATGGGCTGGAATCTGTTTTGTTTCGTTTTCGTGACCCCTGGAGAAAGTCAATTGGAAATTGCTGTCCGTGGTAGGCAGAGGCAAAGCAGACAGCAGGCAGCGCTGAGGCTGAGTAAACCAGAGCCAAAGTTGCTTAAGCAAAGAACAGTATAACAAATAACTTTTAATGTGGTGGCCTCAAGAGGACTTTGCCATGCAAATTTTAGATAGAAATATTTGTTATTTAATTATTTCAATCTGTATACTGCCTCGTTACCCGGAACACCCTCTGGGTGGTACACAACTTGTCAAATTACCATTAAAAGCAATGATACAAAAGTACAATGTACAATAAAACAAATAAAACTGGTTCACTAACTTAAAAATTTACTTTAAGCAGAATTAAACAAATGTAAAACAAATTGGGGCATCTCAGGTCAGTCATTAAAAGCAATAATAAAAGACAGATGGTTGTTGTGGGTTTTTCGGGCTCTTTGGCCATGTTCTGAAGGTTGTTCTTCCTAATGTTTTGCCAGTCTCTGTGGCCGGCGTCTTCAGAGGACAGGAGTCAGAACTCTGTTTGTGCTCCTTCTGTTTTTATTCTGTTTTTATTAATTTCCTAAAACCTGTTGCCACTGAAACATCAGAGAATAAAGACAGCCACCTTACCAAATGGTTCTCTGTGCCTCAGGAAGACTTATGTGGAGTCACTCCCAGATGAGGGAACTCCCTTCCTCGGGAGGTTCACTTGGGCCCTTCCCTTTTTCTCCTTCACTGGGGAAGCAGCCCTTTTCCCTGGCAACTGAAGACCTACCTCTTTAGAGACGCTTCTAGGTAGTCAAACAGGGAGGTTTAGTGGGCTTTTAAAACTTTGTTTTATTGTTTTAAAATAATGTTTTTAAATATCTATGATATTTGTGTTTTCAGTTATTTGTGACTTTCCTCCTGCAACGTGGGGAAGGCAGGATAGGAACTAAATGAATGAATGAATAAACAAGCAAACAAACAAATGAATAAACAAACAAAATAAATAAATACAACCAAGGAAGTCCCCCCAACTTTCCGTCTAACCTCTCTCTCCGTCTTCCGTACTTTTTGCCTCCCATCACTCCCATCTCAGTATGACCTCTCACTGTTACTTGCTTTGACTTCATGTCAAGCCCTCCTTTCACTCTGATCTCTCATCGCTCTGCCTTTTTCTACCTTCCCCTTCCTTCTCTCAATATGATCATTTGGCCTTCCTATCTCCATTTTTTCTGCCCTTTGTCTCCTTTCCCCTTCACCTCTTAGCCTCTTCTCTTGTTCTGATTCCTTCAACACTCTTCCCTCCAGCCCTTATCTCCTTCTGCTCTCTCAGCTCTCCATCCATACTCATGTGCATGCACACATGGATCAACGTCTTCTTTACTGCCATTCTTGACATGTAGAAATGGCTCTACCCTTCTCTCCACCCACCATCCACTGATAGACCAAAAGAGAAGAGGGTGATCCTCAGAGATAAGAGCAGACCTGCAAGATCTGCAGGCCAGAAAGTCAACCAAAGGGTTTCTTCTTGATTTTCTGGCATTTTATAGCCCACCTCACAGATGTCCTTGAGATGTTTGATATAGATTCTCTCTGTATTCATTATTTCCTGAATGACATTCGTTCTCATCTGATCCTTGTTTTCTGCCATTTTTTGGCGGTGTTTTCCAGGATCTGCATTTGGTTCTTCATCTTGGAGGTTATGACAGTTTTCTGCAAGCTCTTCCTGATTGACCCGCAACTGGAAGCATAAGGAGGGAGGAGAAACTGAGTTCAAAAAAAGGACAGCAATAGTGCAGTCAACAATGAAAAGTCAGTTAGCAATCAGTTGGCAAGGGGTTTCAATTATTATTTTTAAAAATCCACATGAGGTCCTATATCCTATCCCAGTGAGCCCCACTGCCAACTCAGAATTCTGTGAGCTGTAGATCAGTGAAGCAATTTTCCTGAGTTCTGGGTCTGACCATAGGTAGGTGACGATGCACCTACTTTCTCTGCATGTGGAGGATCCTGGGATCACTTCCTGGCAACTCCAGGAATCAAAGAATTAGGTAGGAAAAGATGAGGAAGTGTGTACCTGAGAACTAAGAGAGCCACTGTTGGTCAGTAGCCGCTCAGAGTGGTCGTATAGACCAGATGGGCAGGTTACAAATCAAATCAAATCAAATCAAATCAAATCAAATCAAATCAAATCAAATAAATAAATAAATAAATAAATAATAGTGGCTTCAAAGGCCAAATAGTCTGACTTTGTATGAAGCAGCCTATTAGCATCCAATAGTTTCTACAGCTGAAACTCTACAAAAATTAACTGGAGTTTACTATTCTTCACTCTTTGAAGTACATGCATAAAATTGATGTGTCTGCTGCCCATTCATTCATTCATTCATTCATTCATTCATTCATTCATTCATTCATTCATTCATTCTTTCTTTCTTTCTTTCTTTCATTTATAATTGTGAAAATGCACTCCTAGTCTCCACCAAAACCTTGGCATCCACGCTCAGAAACAAACCCAGGAGCACTCACAAGCTGTGCACCTGCGTGTAAACCCCATCCAGTACAAGCTGCCACCTATTCCTTGATCTGCCTTTTGACTAATCAGGAGCACATCTATCTTATCTGGATTAAGTTTCAGGGGTTTTTTTTTGCCCTCATTCAGTCCATTATTGATACCAGACACTGATCTAGAGCCAAAATAGTTTTCTTAGATTTAGATTGAAAGAAGAGATAGAGTTGGGTGTCATCTGCTTATTGGTGAATCCTATGAAGACATGTGTCCCAGATGAGAACAAGAGCAGTCATCTCTCTCCCTGGCCAACTTAAGGACACAGGAGACAAAACAGACAAGAGCTGTTTATTTCTTTGTGAGTTACATTTAGAGCTCTCGTTTCCTCCAGAGAAGTCAGGAAAGTGTATGTGGTTTTTTTCCCCCTTCCATTCCTTTTCACAAAAATCCTGGGTGATAAATCCTACTATGAGAGAGTGGCTTGGCCCAAAGTGACCAAGTGAGTATCCTGGCTCTGTAGGGACTACAACTTGGGTCTCCCAGTCGTGCACAGTGGTGGTCTCTCTTTCTCTCTGCTTATAAACTTCAGCTCCGTGTAGGATCATAGTGAACATTTTATAACCAGACTTCCTGTGTGAGTTTGATACATACAGTAAATTCCACTTCTCATGTAGCTGGCCATTCTTATTGGTGAATCCTATGAAGACATGTGTCCCAGATGAGAACAAGAGCAGTCATCTCTCTCCCTGGCCAACTTAAGGACACAGGAGACAAAACAGACAAGAGCTGTTTATTTCTTTGTGAGTTACATTTAGAGCTCTCGTTTCCTCCAGAGAAGTCAGGAAAGTGTATGTGGTTTTTTTCCCCCTTCCATTCCTTTTCACAAAAATCCTGGGTGATAAATCCTACTATGAGAGAGTGGCTTGGCCCAAAGTGACCAAGTGAGTATCCTGGCTCTGTAGGGACTACAACTTGGGTCTCCCAGTCCTGCACAGTGGTGGTCTCTCTCTCTCTCTCTCTGCTTATAAACTTCAGCTCCGTGTAGGATCATAGTGAACATTTTATAACCAGACTTCCTGTGTGAGTTTGATACATACAGTAAATTCCACTTCTCATGTAGCTGGCCGTTCTTAAAGCTAATCTCAAGCACAAACAGTGCACTCATCTTTAATGTATTAGTTAGTAGTCATATTACACTGTTGCTGGTGATTTTCATTAATTAACGACACACACCCCTCCCCATTCCCTAACCACTCGCAATCACAAAAGGGTTTCCATGGAGGTTTGGGACCTTCTGGGAGTTGGAATTGTTTTATTTCCAAAAAATTGTTGCCATTGATATCATCAGCCTTACATGGCATAACTCAGAGGACAGGATTTCAGCCACTAATACCAAAAAATATGGCATGAAGAGCTAACTTTGAAATGAATCAAGCGAAGTAAGTGGTCCAAACAGCAGTCTCCAATTCTATCTACCTTCTACAGAAAAAAAGTGTTTGGTTTTTACTCTGATTGTTCAGCCTTTACCATAGGCTAAGGAAGTGATTAATTATTGATACTGTAAGTAAAAAAATAGCCCTAAAGAATAAGCAAGCAGGAATGTTGAGTACCTATGGAGCTTTCATTATGGCCATTGACAGGGAACTGCAATGCACTGAGTAGTCCTCAGGGTGTGTGTGTGTGTGTGTGTGTGTGTGTGTATGAATCTTACCATTCTGGTGAGTGTTTTGAACATAAATAAATTGTAGAAGTAATGATCAGGGAAGAAGTGGCAGACACCAGCTTCAGAAGGCGACTGGACAAAGATAAGGGGAATGGGATAGGGTCTATCTGTCACAATAGATTATCTGCCTATAATACCAGAAGTGGTATCAGTTGATGGAGAAGTGCAAGTAGGAAGGTGCTGCTGCATTTGCATGACACAGGGGATTCTCAAAGGCAGCTGTTTGTACAATTACAAATGGTGAACAGAAAACTGAATGAGATGGGCCTTTGGTTTGATCCACCAGGCTCTTCTTGTGCTCCTCACAATATTAGGCAAGTCAAGATTTTACAGGATATGAGTAGGAAGGGTGTTACCAAATTGAAACCACTGACTCGTGACCTTACTTCTCCTCCCCATTTATTTCCTTTCTTTTTACAGTAACAGAAGTATATGTACCGTATTTTTCCGTGTATAAAATGACACTTTTTCCTAAAATAATTAGAGGAAAAATTAAGGGAAAAATTAAGGGTCACACAATAGTAAGGAGGAGAGGGAGGGATCAAATTGCCCCCTCCATTTTCTTTGCAAAAAGTAGAGGGGGAAAGCAGCTTTTTGCAAAGAAAGTGGACGGGGAAAGCAGTTTCCTCGCAAGAAAGTGGAGGGGGAACGCGATTCCTGCATTCCCCCTCCTCTTTCTTACAAAGATAGAAATTTTGGGTTAGAAAAGTGTGGGGGGTCTTATACATGGGGGCATCTTATACACAGAAAAATACGGTATATGAAATTGTGTGGGCAGCCACCATTATTTCTGCACGTGTTAGCAAAGATGGTTATGTATGTATGTATGCATGTATGCATGTATGTATGTATGTATGTAGGTAGGTAGGTAGGTAGGTAGGTAGGTAGGTACTGTAGGTAGGTAGGTAGGTGTATGTATGCATTACAGTATTTAATATACCGCCCCATTAGTGCCATGCACTATTCTAGGCAGTTTACAGAAGCTGAAAACATATATGTAATGATAATGTATTAAATGAGCAGTTCAAAAACAGCAAAAACTTCAAGAGGCATAAACAAGAAGCTGAAAACATATACGTAATGATAATGTATTAAATGAGCAGTTCAAAAACAGCAAAAACTTCAAGAGGCATAAACTGAAGAATAAAACAGGGAATGCAAGGCAAATAAACAACCTTATGTAAACAAAAGTATCTCATCCAGTTCAGGAGACCGGGGTTCAAATCCTCTCAACTATGCTTTGATTATATTCCTGCGTTGAGCAAGGGGTTGGACTTGATGGCTTTATAGGCCCCTTCCAACTTCAGTTTCCTATGATTATATGCTCCGAATAATTCTCTGTCACTTAAACCACTTCACAAAATTGTTTTAAGAATAAAGGGGGGGGAAGAGTGAAGGACAAAATTATATATATTGACACATCCCAGCCCATAGACAGGGATGCAGGATACCATGTTTTTATATTATGTATGTAAAACAAATATGCACTGTTTTTGTTTTATGTTTTTAATGATTGCCACAAATAAAGAAAAATGGCAGCACAGGTGCCAATTTTTAATTCTATATACTTGCTATATATCTAATAAATATGAAATATGGAAATCTAATGGCAATAAGATAGATATATATATAGATACTCTTCTGCTTGTTGCCAGATTCCTTGTGTCCGTTTCTCCTTGTCCACAATATGACTTTGGGTGCAAAGAACACCACCTCCAGTGGAATAGCCAAATTAAAAAGAGCAACTTGCAGTTAATGAATCTCTTCAAGCTCTTTGAAGCCATTATATCACTGAATGAGCTGGATCTGCCTGGCGTAATTTATATTAACATAGCATATGATCTGGCTGCAATCCTGTATACACTTACCCAGGAGTACATGCTACCAACTCCCTTTGGACTTATTCCTAAGTGGACAAGCACCGGAATGCATTGCCAAGAAATGTATACCATGTTTTCCCCCTTTCAAAAATGAACTGTTCAAATATAAAAATTATGAAAACCAAACATGAAAACACATCTGAGAGTTGTATCTGTTCACTCCTTACAAAAAGAGCAAACATGAAGCAAAAGTGAGGTCATTCTGGATAAAGATGATAAAAGCTGTACCTAAATGAAGCTAGAAAATCAAAACTGGAAATAATACAATTAATTGCTATAATCTAAATGCTACGATGTGAAAATAAGTGGCATAGCTAAACTCAAACAATGTGTCAGCCCACACCAAGGGAGCATAAAATTGCTGCTCTACTCACCCTGACAAAGCTAGCTGGAAACCATGCTTCCTTCTCTTCATTTCTTCCCCACCACCAATCCTTGTTTGAAGCTTCAAGGACTTGGATGACATCCCCAGCTTTGAAGGCTAATTCCTGGTCGTCCATGGTCACATGATCCCAGAGTGCTTCTGCATAGACCATACTCCCATCGCTTATCAACTGAAAGAGAAACATTACGTGAAGCGCAAAGATTCTGCCAGGCTGGCCAAAGACAAATGTGTTCCAGCAGATCTGTGGAGATGCTAACAACATGAACAGAAGTTCAAACACTGAATTAATTTACTCGAGCTTTTGTAGGCATCCTCGGCAGAAATGTTTTTGCATAAATATGGTGATAAATGAACCAAATACTTTTCAAATGGTTCAATAATATAACAAGTGTGCTTATGAATTCATAAGTGTGATTGCTCATCCACAATATTTAAACAAGGCATTGTAAAAAGATTCCTGTACAAAAGTTTCCTTCTCATTACCTCGTTAATGGCTAGCTGTTCCCCTCCAGGTTGCAGGTACCTAGGATTGGGTCGGCAAAGCTCCTCATAGCTGTAATCCTCTTCGCTACCGTTGTCATCCACTAAAGCAGAAGACTCAGTACCACCATCTGCAGCACCTGGCAGGAAAGAAAAATGATGAGTTATTAAAGTATAATGAAAGGCTCTGTCACAATTTTTTAAAATTCTCCTTATGAAACAGCACAGAATTCTGATTTTCCAATTCTCACATTCACTTGCTTGGCTCAAAAACTCCAAAACCACACACACAATCAGAGTTAGACGGAGAGACATCTGAATCAATCCTAAGCAATTATCTACCCAAACAAAAATATGCTACATGGACGACAGGTACTGGTCAGTGATCTAGCCAGCCACCCCACTGTTCTTCCAGAATGCTTTATTCCAGAGATCTGGAAACTATTTTACCCTCTTCCTGACCTCAGAGGGCAATGTCCCTCAAACAGGCTGCACCTCCAAAAGCTTTCAGATGCATGATTTGCTTCTTTGGCATAATCAGGTAAATCCCTATTTGGATTCCGGGCCCCCTTTTGGATTCTGGGTCAAACTTAAAGCCATCCGACTTGCACGCAATAAGGAACCCCATGAGGAATCACAGTGGGAATATTAATTAGTAGTGATCTATCACTGTAGTACAGTGGGGTCTTGACTTGAGAACTTAATCCGTATTGGAAGGCGGTTCTCAAGTCAAAAAGTTCTCAGGTCAAATCTGCATTTCCCATAGGAATGCATTGAAAACCATTTGATCCGTATCTGCTCTTTTCCGTCCATAGAAACTAATGGGAAGCTGCTATTCTGCCTTCGACCACTAGAGGGGGATATTTTGTTTCTTTTTTTCTTAGGTCAAGAAAGGTTCAGGGAAGGCACATTAATTAGTAGTGATCTGTCACTGTAGTAACATCATTTCATCTATGCCAGTGTATGTTACAAAGGAAAACTTGGTCTATATGTTTTTAAAAATAATGTTGTGACCCACCTTCATTCCCATACCAGGAGAAAGGCAGGTTAGGAAAAGCCATCAAATCCATATCCTATTTTTAATCTCAACTGTTGCGTAGATCCAATTGAATCAATTGCTAATGATATGTCAACATTTATAGAAATCCTGTCACACTGACCGTAAGTCAATCTACTCTAGTTGCAGCTGCCAATAGGATACTGGCCTCATGCTTCAAAATAGCTATTGGATATTGGCCCTCCAAATGTTGGACTATAACTCCCATCAGACCTAGCCAGCCCAATGATAAGGCATGATATACTCCATAGAAGCTGCTGCCATGAATTTGTGGTTGGAACAGAAAAACCAATCTAAAGGACCAGTGGTGCTATTTTGTGAATCCTGTTCTAACACTTCTGTATATGTCTAGTTATACTCTAGACTGGACTTTTGTTCTCCTTAAGATCATTGTCACGGATGCAGTATTTAACGAATAGTGTTGTTGTTTTTTACAATATCTATGGGGCTGACCTAAAACAAACAAACAACAAACAAATAAATGTTATAGTGAACAACAACATGATTATTAAGAAACTCTTCTACTGGTAATTTATTCATGCCATAGAAACACATGAACATATTGCAAAGGCAGAGAAAAGCTACTGTGGTACAGATGTTAGTTAATTAGGGCACACCCAATGTGAACAGTGGAGTACTATAGAGCAATGGTCCCCAACATTGGGCCTCCAGATGTTCTTGGACTACAACTCCCAGAAGCCTTCACCACCACTTCTGCTTGCCAGGATTTCTGGGAGTTGAAGTCCAAGAACATCTGGAGGCTCTAGGTTGGGGACCACTGCTATAGAGGACATTGAGCCAATTGAATCAGTTGGGTAAGGTGTTTTTTAAAGGCATAGTTTGCCACAGAAATGGCAAGCTCAGGGAGGCTGGCAGCCAAATCTGTGTCCCTGGCCCCCTCTCTATGCCACACAGACCATACTTTGAGCCATGTTTTCAAGAACGTTAAGCGCCCTTTGACACACTTCCAGTCTGAGGTGCTGGGGGAGTAGGGGGGCTTTAGGAGATGACCCTCCCCAGGATCAAGACATGAAACTGCAGAAAAATCACAATTTTTCATTTAAAAAAATACTCCATTTTAAAAGGAGGAGCTCTTTGGTGAGCACAAGAACTCAGATGCATGGGGCGAACAGCCCACATTGTGGTTACAAGGTTTATGGGGTGACTTCTTAGTTGTTCCAACAAACCGAAGCATAAAGCCATATCAAATAAGTTTTCAAAAGGATGATTTGATTGCACGAAGGGATTGCTGACCCTTTTTGGATATTAGAGAAGAATGCATAATAAAGAGGCTGGAGGATGATCCATTGCTAAGTACAATCTGACTTGCAAGGTCACAGGTGGACAGACATTAGGCACTACAAGTGCCACAAGTGGCAGAGCTAGCTAACAGTGACAAACTGGGACGAGGAGGTTCAGCAAACCACAGCAAGCCGCAGTAAAACTCAGTTTCGGCTGCACTATATGTACTAGAGTGGTACTGTCCAATATTTCTGTCTCACACACACACCAAAGGTAGCCACCAAGTTCTAATGATGTGATAGCATTAGAGAGAAAAATACCTCTCCCACCCCCAATTATTCACATCTTGCTTTTGTTACCTGAATCCTACCAGTTTGCAGTCATTTCTTTTATAGGAACTAATTTTTTTTTAGAACTGAACCAAGGACCATATCAGATTTCCTTGCCAATTTCACTCCCCACCAAAAGGAAAATGGGTCCAATTCTAATTATTTAAGACTAAATTCTCTTACTTCAATTTTGTTTCAGAACACATATTCTACTAAACTCTATCTACAATCTATGAAATATTCCTGAAACACAGAATTATAAATAGAAATGGAACTTACTTATTAAAAGGCATGCGTTCACAGTGCAGACTCACTGGAAAGCAACTTTCCTTATAATCAGAAAATAGTTCCCAAATTCACAATTATTTTGGAAGATTTCACCCTCTAATAGTTTTAAAGGCATGATAATACTGCAAACATTTATACACAAATATTATATACAAATATTCTAAAAGAATCATCTGTTGAAATATAATTAATTTGAAGAACAATCCTGCTTTGCAATACAAATGCTTAAATTCGACATAGCTAGTTTTCTGACTCTTGCTCTCTACAGCCATTTCTCTATTGTTTACTGCTGGCAGTAAATACCCAGACATGAATAGGCAATTCTTATCTCTTTTACAGACTATCAAAACTGAAGACAGAGACAAAAAAGCCAGAATACAACTGGCTTTTATCTCATTTTATTTTCTGTGCTCATCTGCCAGCCTTGCTTTATTTTATATCTGAGTCAAGCCTCATGATAACAGTTTAAAAACAGAAATGCCACAGAGAATAAATGGAGTTCCATCTCCTACTGAAACATACCTATCTGAAGGCTTTCCAGACTCCAGAACCGGGCTATTTCCTCTCTGGCTACCATCCTGCTGTCCAAAAAACACACACAAAAAAACCTGCCCGACTATACACAATGCAGAGCTGGGCTTTTAATAGGTAAGGCCTAGCCCTTAAAAAAAAAACACCCTGTGGGCCAGAGAGGCTGCAAGCTACTGGAAATGCAGAAACAGCTTATTCATCGCTTTGAGCTTCTGTTCGTGCATTTCAGGCCGGAGTCTACTTCGAAACTGACAGCTCACTCTCTGTTCAGTGTAGCTGTGAGTTTAGTGCCTTCAGTGACATCATGAGGTACCCTGCAGGAGGAAGTTACAAAACAAATACATGCACATGTGCACACACAGTATTCATGCACATGACACATGCACACAATGTACTCCTGCCTTAAATCCTCGCAGAACAGATTTATTACTGCTACTCTGAATTAACTGCTCACTCTCTGCTCAACTATGTTCCTCTTGTTCTCTCTGGCCCAAAGGAAAGGCTATATCACTAAAGAACAGATTTCTTCTCCTTACCATATGTTTGAAATTTTGAAAAACCTAGCATAAGAAACAACATTATTTCAGAATGTGATATCTCCAAATGGAAGTTTTGAAGTAAAAAATGAAACATAATGCAGACCTTCAGTAAAAATTATTTGTAAGCTTGTCTATACAGCGTGCAGGTTTCCCGGACTTTTGGCTTCAAGAGTCAGCTCTTAACTCCTCTCTTAGTTCTTTTTTCAATTGTATGTTTTGTGGGCCAGTGGCCGCTCATGGTCTGAACCAGGAGGGGTCACCTCTCAGGTCACAAGTCACTCAGGCTGTGTGTCAAGCATCAGATCAGCCTGCTTAAGTATCATCAGCTGAACCTACATAGGCCAATGCTTTAGCAAGGTCTATAAAGGGCTTCATCTTGAGCAGAGCTTGTTCCTCAATTCCAGCAACTCTTGTCTAGACTCACGTTTCTGTTCTCTCTCCTGGTCCCCTTTCCTGACCTGCCTTCTTTAAAAGGTTTCTCTTTCTTTTCTTTTCTTTTTTTTACTAAGTCACTGCTTCTGGCCCTTGAAATTATGTATGTACTTACTCAGTAAGTCAAAGTTTACATCCCAGAATTCTTCCACTGAGCTCAAGATAGTATATACAGCCCTCCTCCGACTCATGTTATCTTCACAACCTTGAGAGGTAGACTATGCTTAGAAAAATTGAGTGGCCCAGCTACACTGTATTTCAGGGCTCAATGGGGAGTTAAACTCTGATCTCCCAAATAAATGCCAGTCCAACACTCTATCCCATGTCACTTATTGACTCTATTTATCTGCCTTGTTTGGAAATCAATCTGAGCATGATTTGGACCATATGCACATCCACCCCTCAGATGACAGATAGCTCATCCACACTATTTTATGTTCCTTTTAAAGCTTTAATATTTTGTAGTGTACTCTTCTGCAACATGTAATTCCAGGGCAGCCAACAAAAAACATTTTTAAAAAAATCTATACAATAAAATAGAAAGTTAGATAAATAAATAATGTAATTTCAAAGAATGGGGGGATCATAGCATGTTTGAGTTGAAATAAAAACAAAAAGCAGCAACAAAGCTACAGAGAAGTTCAGAACCCCAGATAAATAAATAGAGGGATCATAGCATGTTTGAGTTAAAATAAAAACAAAAAGCAGCAACAAAGAAGTTC